GAGTCTGACCCAGCCAGGCACCCAGAAACAAAGTTATTATATTTACCTACTTGGTTACAATTTCCATGCTTTTCATTTCTTTGTGGAGATCTAGATTTTCATTTGGTGTCACTTTATTCTGTCAGACTCTCTTTAGGATTCTTGTGTGGGTCAGCTGGTAATGAATTCTTACAGCTTTTGGATGTCTGAAAAGTCTCTTTATTCTGTGTTTTTGAAAGATATTTTCATTGGGTATAGAATTCTAGGTTGGCAATGTTTTTCTTCCAGCACCCCCCCTTTTTTTTTTTTGAATATTTTTTTATTTATTTCTAGGAGAGAGAGAGAGACAGCGTGAGCAGGGGAGGGTCAGAGAGAGAGGGAGTCACAGACTGAAACAGGCTCCAGGCTCCGAGCTGGCAGTCAGCACAGAGCCCGACGTGGGGGCTCGAACCCACGAACCGCGAGATCATGACCTGAGCGCAAGTCGGACGTTTAATCGACTAAGCCACCCAGGTGCCCCGTTCCAGCCCTTTTTTTTACTTAAACAATATTTTTAATGTTTACTTTTTTTTTTTTAGTTTTTTTATTTTTAATGTTTTTTTATTTATTTCTAGGAGAGAGAGAGACAGCGTGAGCAGGGGAGGGTCAGAGAGAGAGAGGGAGTCACAAACTGAAACAGGCTCCAGGCTCTGAGCTGGCAGTCAGCACAGAGCCCGATGCGGGGCTCGAACCCACGAACCGCGAGATCATGACCTGAGCGAAAGTCGGACGCTTAACCGACTAAGCCACCCGGGCGCCCCATTAATGTTTACTTTTTTTGAGAGAGAGGGAAAGAGAGCAGGGAAGGAGCAGGGAAAGAAAAGGAGACACAGAATCTGAAGCAGCTCCACGTTCTGAGCTGTCAGCACAGAGCCCGACGTGGGGCCCGGACTTGTGATCATGACCTGGGCTGAAGTCAGACACTTAGCCACCTGAACGAGGCAGGCGCCCCGCTTCCAGCACTTTAAACTCTTGCCCCGCTGTCTTCTAGGTTAGCTCTTGCTTTATTTCCATGAGGAATCTGTTGTCACCCTTATCTTTTCCCCTTTGTACACAGCATGTGTTGATTTCTCCCCCGCCTCGGCTGTTTGCACTTAATATTTTCCTTTATCCTTTGATAATGATGTACCTTCCTGTGGTTTTCTTCCTATAACATATGCTTAGGGCTTGTTGACCTTCTCGGGTTTGTAACTTTATAATTTTTATCAAATCTGGAAACATTTCGACTATCATTTCTGTATTTTTCCCCCAATCCTCCTCCCTCCGGGGACCCCATCTCATATATAGTAGGCCACAGCCCACAGTCCTGCTCTTCCTTCTTCTCTTCAGTCTTTTCTTCCTCTGTGTTCTATTTTTTTTTAATATTTTTTTAATGTTTTATTTATTTCTGAGAGAGAGAGAGACAGTGTGAACAGTAGAGGGTCAGAGAGAGAAGGAGACACAGAAGCTGCAACAGGCTCCAGGCTCTGAGCTGTCAGTACAGAGCCCGATGTGGGGCTTGAACCCACAAACCATGAGATCATGACCTGAGCCGAAGTCGGACGCTTAACCGACTGCGCCACCCAGGTGCCCCTGTTCCTCTGTGTTCTAGAGCAAATGTTGAAAGTGTGCAACCCCATGGGCAGGTCGGGGAGGTGGGGGAGGGAAGGTCCCCGCTGGATTAAGAACTACAAAGTTGCCAGGTCACCCCATGCCAAGCGTCCAAGGAACACAGCCTGCTCACTGCTCCCAGAGCCTCTAGGCTGGTCACCCTCTCTTCCCTGTACTCCCTCCCACTCAGGGCTCACTCACCTGTTCCCCCTCCCCTCTCAAGTTTCCTTTAAAAGTCCCCCAAAGAACTGTCCTGGAGGGGGATGGAAGTGTCCTGTGTCTTGATAATAGGGGCATTGGTTAAAAGAGCAATTGTTTGTTACAACTGCTAGAACTCCACACTTAGGGCATTTTACTGCACAGAAAATCTATCTCAGGCTTGAAATGAGGCCAAAGGGTCTGAGCAGATCAGGCAGTTAGACCCCTTGGAACAAAGTAGGACCTGGGTCGCTTAGGGCTGCTGGCCTCTCTGATGGCCCTAAACACAGGCGGCTGAGGGCACATCCTTCCTGAAGCAAGAAGGAGGCGGTGCCCCAGCATATCTGGAGCCCCAGCTGGAGCTTCATCAACTCAGGGCAGGAGGCAGAGGCCCTTCCCACAGCTCCGGGGCCACTCTGTGCTCTCTGGGTCATTGTTTACGTGCTAAGAGAAAAGTGGCATTTTGTGATATGACAGCAGGGATTTGAGGGAGGGAAGGGGGCAGGAAAGAAACCAGACTGGCTGTGAGCCGGCCTTGGGTGAGGGTGGGGACGGCTACATGTGGACCATCATTATCTGACTTTCTACACTGTTGTGTACACCTGATATTTTCTATAATAAAAATATTTTTTTAAAAACCCTGACATTTGCATCTTGTTTAATTTGCATTTTTTTTTTTCTGACAAGGTCTCTTATTTATTGTGTAGTAAATTGCCTGTTAACCCCTCGAGGGTCTCAGCATAGCAACTACTCCATAATCAGAATATTAATTCCTTGTTATACAAATACTTTATTTCCTGCTACTTTGATATTTGCTCTTTGTTTCAGTAGACATTTTTAGTTGCCTTGTGGTCTCACCTCTTCCCCGTAGCTCCAAAGCTCCTCCCCCAGCAGGCACCCGTCCTGCCTCATGCCCTTGACCTCATGAGCCTCACCTAGCACACATCACCTGTTCTGGACTCCACTCAGTCACCAGCAACCCCTCCCACCAATGACCTCAGCCCTGTGGCTGGGCCTTCGCGCTCCCTTGGGAGCCCCAGCACCCCGGCACCCCACTCCCTTCCCACCAGCCTTCTCTCCCCAACCTCAGTCCCCTTTCCTTGCTGTGGCCTGCAGCCCCCTCCCCACTCCCCTCTGTAAGAGTCCGAGCTGATGGGAGCCATCTGCTGTGCCAGCCACCTGCACCAGCCCTTGCTGTGGGCACCACCCCATCTCCGCACCAGGTCTGAATTCCTGGTGGTCTCAATACTCTCGTGACCACCTTCCAGGCCCTGCCCCTCGGTCTAACCTCCCATCATCTCAGCTCAACACCACCATCTCAGACCATCACCTGCCAGCTCAGTCCTGCAGAAGCTGGTCCCAGCACTCGAGAGCCCCCAAGCTGTCATGTCCTCACCTCTTTCTCCCTGTTTAGAGGCCACAATCACTGCCGCCTCTCCCTTGCACACCCCCTTGGCTCAGATGCCCCTTTCAGAAACTCACTTGGCAAAAGCCCAAACCTGGATAAACCCAACCACTTTGCTTATCCCCACTGGGCTCCCTGCTGCTCCTCAAAGATATGCAATCCCATCTCCTCTGGAATAGAGGCCAAAGCACACAACTGTCTCCCAGGCCTGGTCTCTGCGCCTTCCTGCTCTCACAATCCAGGCTATCACCTGGTCTACTCCTCTTTCTGATTGGCATCTGTGTCCTGGGCTGGACCACCGGCTCGAGGAGCAGGTGGAGAGTGGATGCTCGGAGCTGTGAGTCTCTCCTCACAGATGGGAAACTGGGGGTTGAGCCAGACTGAGCAGGTCAAGGGCAGCCCACTATGCACACAGGCTCCAAACTGGCTTCCAGATAGACATGACACCCCTCCCCCATTCTACAGAAGAGAAGGCTGCGAAAGGGGGTTTTGGGTGCCAAGGAGCCAGACCGAAAGCGGCTCCTAACCAGGGTGGGATCTTGGCAGCGGGGAGAGGGGTCCTGAAGGAGGAATGGGCTCTCTAGGCTACACTGGCCTGAGCTCGCCTAGAGTGGAGGCAGGTGAGAAGGTGACCACGGGGCCCACAGGTGAACACACACAGGGCCCCTGGCTCTGCTGGAGAGGAGCGTGCTGGGGACATAACACCGAGTCTCTCCTTTGAAACCTGGCCTTTTGGCAACATGGGACCTGCACAGGGCTGGAGACGGCACACCCAGAAGCAGAGGGACCTAGAACCAATCCCACATCCCCCCGTCCCAGGTAGGTAAGAGGCCGGAGGTCAGAGGGAATAGAGTCTCTGGTCCTCAGAGACGCTGTGGGGACAGGGCGGAGAGACCAAGCACGCTGGGTGCTAAGGCCCTGAGGGTCAGAGTATCCCTCAACTGGCTGGGTCCTCTGGGAGCCAAAGCAGCCTTGCCTTGGACCCTGTCCTCTCCTGCAACAAAGCCCCCCCGCCCCCAACTCTCAGTGGGAAATTCAGGGTGACCTCCAGTGCAGGAGAGCTGAGACTTTCCACAAGCGTGAGAATCACCGTCTCTCCTAGCTGGACCTCAGGACTGGGGCACGGTGACCTTGGGGGTGTCGGTAGGGGCGGGAGGGGTGCCAGAAAGGAGATGGAGCGAGGAGGCCCCAGTAATTGAGCCTGGGCCGCATGTGTGCTCTACACCCCGGCCACTGCGGACTGATGGCCAAGGCCTGGGCCCACCTGCCCCTCCCCGCCAGGCGCCCCGAGGGGCTGCAGACTCCACCCAAACTAGCGGATCAGGGGCTGCCCGAATCGTCCCCTCGGGAGCACGCGGCCGTGGGACACATGTGTCCGTGCTCTGACGCCTCGTCCGTCAAAGCTTTGGAGCCAAGGGGGCGGGGAAACTGACAGAGAGGCAAGGACGCAGACAGCCAGCTAGGGCTGGAGGGACGGCGAAGTCGGAAGAAGAGATAGAAAAATGACGAGAAGTGAAGGAGGGGCACAGAAGACGTGGGGGGACAGGCAGCTGAGTGGAAGAATGAGGGAAGGGGTCGGGGAAATGCAAGCACAAGGCTAGGGCGACAGGGTGGCTAGGACCGGCGGGGGGGACCGGGATGTAGTTAGAAAGGAAGCAGGGGCGGGTCGTCAGGGAGAAGACGGCCGGGGGGGGGGGGGGGGGGGGGGGGGCGCGCTGGTGATGGGACTGCGCCGGGCACGTTCCTCCAGCGCCCGGAGGGTTTGCCCGGTAATTAGGCCTCGGTCCAGATGGGCCCCCAGTCCCGCAATCAAAATGCTAATTGGCCCCGCGTCTCCGGCTGTGCCTCGGCCCGGCGCCCCCTGGGAGCGAGCGGGGACGACAGTCTCGACCGAGGGGGGGGGGTCCCCGTCCCCGCCCCCACTTCGGGGCTCGCCGGCTGCGGCTCTGCGATAAGAAGGCGGCGGCACCCCGCCCCCGCCCCTCGGGGACTCCTGCCACGCAAGATGAATATCCAGCCGCGGCCACCGCCACAAAGCGAGCCTGTGGTCTCCGCCGCGCCCCCTGCGCGGGGCCAGCTCGCTCACGCCCGCACTCGCTTGTCTCCGGGGCGAGGCGCGGGCGGAAGCGGGGCGCGGGCAGCAGCGGCGCGGCTCCCGGAGCCGCACTCCCGGCGCGCCCCCGCACGCACGCTCCCGGGGCGGCCCGCCCGCCGCGCGCTCCCGGCCGGTGTCCGCGGCCCCGCCGAGCCGCCCCGCACAAGGTCACTGCGTGCGGCGACGGGTGCGCGCGCGCCCCCACCCTGCACGCGCTCCCGGCTCGGCCGCGCCCGGACCCTCCCCGGAGCCACCCTGCGACCTTGGTCCTCAGTGACAGCGGGCGGCGCGGGGGCGCGCTCCGGGAGAGCGTGGACACCCGAGCCGTCCGGCGCAGGCGAGGGAGGGGACAATGGCAGCTCCGGGTCCTAATTGAGGACATATGTCCCCGCGAGCGGCCATTGTGAGGCCTGGAGCCCCCGACACCCCCGCTCCCGGCCATTGGCGGCTGGGCCTGACGTCATGGGGGCTGCAAACTCGGGGCGGGCGGCCGCGGGAAGGGTTATCCGCCTGGTTGCGGAGCCGCCGGGGGGAGCTGCAGCCACGCGGGAGGGTGTAAAACCACCAGTGAAGTCGAATTTCTAGAGCAAGGGCATGGCAGCCCCTCTCCCCCTTCACAGCCCGCTCTCTGCGTCGCCGCCGCGCCCGACATCCCCCCCTGGGGAAAGAGGCGGGGGTGGAGGGAGGCCTCTCCGGCGGGCACGGGGTCAGCCCGGGTGACCGGGTGGCAGGGAGACACTGCGGCACGGGGCGCGCGCCGCGCTTCCACACTGCGCTTTCGCTGCCTCAGCATTCGCTCCTTCGCCTCCCGCCTCCCCCACTCGCCCCCGAAGATCCCCAGCCTCCGTACCCGAGAGCCAGGCAGGCGGACCGGCCTGGGATCCGCCCTGCGTTCCTCCCCCAGAGATCCCCGGTCCGGGGCGCAGGAGTCCCAGGCCTGTTTCCGCCGTCCCCCCCCCCCCCCCCCCCACGCACGGCAAGGCCGCAGACCACTGGGCCTCCGTTCCCCAAGCTGCCTGGGGAAGTCCACACATGCGGGGGCCGCGGCATCCCCAAGACCCCTCCCAGGAGACCCGGTACGGGCCCGGCCCGGCTCAGCCATTTCCGCCGGCCTCTCCCCCCTCCCCTCGCTCCCCCTCCCTCAGCTTCTGGGCTTTAAAAGCCGGAGGCTGGGCCCGGCCGCAGGCAGAGGCGGCCGCGGGCGCAGGAGGCCGGGCCCCGGAGCTGTCCGAGCGCCGAGCCCCGCCCCCGGAGCCCCCGTCCCTCCCTCTCCCCTTCCCTCGGCCCGCCTTCCCTGCGCACCCCTCCCCCCGAGGACCCCCGCCCCCCGCTCGCCGCCGCCGCCGCCGCCGCTCGCTCGGGCTGCAGAACAATAAAGCAAGCCTCCCAGAGACCCCCGCCGAGGACCCCCGCCTGGCGGCAGAGCCCCCGCGGCCCGCCCCTCGCCGCCCGCGCCGGCTGAGCGCGCCCGGTCGCTGGCCGAGGTGCTGGCCGGGCCGGCGCTGGCCGCGGTGCTGAAGCTGCTGGCGCTCCCGCCGCCGCCGCCGCCGCCGCCGCCGCCGCCGCCGCCGCCGCGTTCCCCGGGCCCGGCGCCTCCACCCCCGGGGGCATGGGGGGCCGCTGACTGAGGCTCCGCCGCGGCGGTGGGGGGGAGGGGAAGGGGGCCGCGGAGCCGGGCCAGCCCTGCACCCACTCGCAGCCTCCGGGCCCGGGACGGAGCCGCTCCCCCCTTCCCCACCCCCCACCCCCCGGCCTCCTCCCCCGCCTGTCCAGGGGCGGCACTGCGGGCTGGGAAGCCGGGACCAGAGGAGGGAAGGGGAGAAGGAAGGAAGGAAAGAAGGAAGGAAAGAAGGAAGGAAGGAAGAGAAGAGAAGAGAAGAGAAGAGAGGAGAGGAGAGGAGAGGAGAGGAGAGGAGAGGAGAGGAGAGGAGAGGAGAGAAGAAGGAAGGAAAAGAAGAGGAACCCAGAGGAGCAGAGGAGGAAACGCAAGGCAGCCCGGCAGGCGAAGAGGACGGCACCCCGGCGGCAGCACCGGGAGGCCAGAGTGGGGACCCGCGCTGCCCCCGCCGCCCCTCGGATGGTGACGGGGCCCCGCCGCGGCCGCAGCCCCCCCGCGCCCCGGCCCCGCAGGCCCGCAGCGCCGGAGCCCCGCAGGAACCATGCCCAGGTCCTTCCTGGTCAAGAAGGTCAAACTTGACACGTTCTCCTCGGCGGACCTCGAGAGCTCCTACGGGCGCGCCCGCAGCGACCTCGGAGTGCGGCTGCACGAGAAAGGTGCGAGCGGGGCTGAGTCTGGGGGCAGCAAGGGGCCCGAGGCAGAGCCGGAAGGGGCAGAAGGCCAGATCGTGGGGACGGAAGGGTCGGGGACCCCAGCAGATGGACCCGAGGGAAGCAGAACCAGGAGGAGGCAGTGGCTGCAGCCGGACTGTGGAGGAGGGTGGGGAGAGGCGGAGGCAGAGGCAGGCCAGATCAAGGCCAAGACCGCGGCAGGGAGCGTGTCCGTGCAGGAGAGAAGGAGGGGAACAAAGGTCAGGAATAGGAAGTACCCCACACCTTGAGCGTGCGAGGACATACACGGTCATACGGGCATCTGCTGACATGACAGGACCTGCCGTGCATGCAAACCCACGCCCAGAACCTGGGCCTCCCTCAGTATCCTCCTCTCTTTTCTGGCTGTGGCTAGCAGGATGCTGTGAGTTCCAGAGAGCAGGCAGGGTGCAGTGGGGGCCGCCACCTGTCAGGACTAAGGTACCAGCAGAGGCAGCAGCGGTGCTTCCCCTGTAGCCAGGGTCGGGGAGGACGACGTGAGCAGGAGGGAGCAGGAGGGTTGTAGGCAGGGAGGCCCACAGTGCTGGAGTCGGGGGAGGCCCTTTGTGTAAGGGTGCCCAAGTTCAAGGACAACTGTTAGCATGCGGGCGAGAGAGCTGGGGGGTGCCAGCAGCGTGGGGTGGCCGAACAAGTGTGACCTGAACCTGTGTGAGCACGAGCCTGTGTGTGAGCCTGTGTGCGCCCATGTGACTGCGTGCAGCCATGTGACTGTGTGCGCTTGTGTGTGACCCTGTATGAGTGTGTGCCTGCCTGTGTGCCACTACATGGGACCATGTGACTCTGAGGCTGCTGTGCACCCATGTGACTGGTGACCCTGGCTAAGAGTGTGTCCAGGGTGGCCGCATGTGTGACCCTGCATGAGTAGGTGGTTTGTGCAACCCACCCTGTGAGGGCACTCCAGGGTTGACCGTGCCTGCGAGGCTGGGTATAACCCCGAAGAAGCCAGAGGCTGCATCGTGTGGTGTGTGCACTTGTGACTTTGAGGCTGTGAGATTTGTCTTGTGCCTTGAGAACAACTGCAGTTACCGGCATGAACGGTGCCGTCCCTCTGATGGTGTCCCCTTGTGGAATGCCCCGGCATTCTCCAGCACAGCGGCTCCCTGGTCACTTGTCCTGAGGCTTGTGGGGAAGGCCCCCCGCAACGGGTTAGGGACTGGGGGAAGAGGGCAATGTGGAACAAGGCAGGACCCAGGGGTGCAGGATGACGGAAGGGAGTTGGGGAAGACGAGTGGGTGGAAGAAGATAAGGCTGGCGCTGGAAGGGGGTCAAGTTCAGCGAGCAGCAGGAGACCTGGGAGGTAAGGAGGAGATGCTAGAGAGGGTAGGAGGGCTTGCCGGAGGGAGAAGTCTTTAGGGCTGGTTGGGGGCCCCGAGGACCAAGGAGGGGCAGCGTCAAGGCTGGGCTCGAGTTCCAGGTGCCGAGGGGAGGAGCAGGTGGGAACCTCGAGAGGCGGGAGCGACGGGGTCCCTCGGTGGGCGGTCCTGGCTTTGTGCGCTGCGGGTCCGCAGTGTGTTGCATAATCAGGGAAAACTGCTGAAGTGGGGAGAACCCGAGGGGGAGGAGGGGTGGAGGAAGGAGGGCGAGGGAAGCGCCGCCCCTCCCCCCTGACCTTGAGGCTCCGCGGGAAGGGGGGCAGCCGCGCCCGAGGATGCGCCTCTTCCCCCCCCCCCGCGAGGGTGGGGCCGGCGGGCGGCGGGGGCGGAGCCGGGGCCCGGCCCGGTCTCATCTCTCCTCTCTTCTCTTCCCCTCCCTGCCTCCTCCATCCCCCCTGCCCCGCGGTACCCCGGCCCCTTCTCCTTTGTCCTTTTTCTTGTCGCCTCCTTCCCGGACCCCGTGTCTCCCGCCGCCTGCCTGTGTGTGTCCCGCCCGCCGCCCGGCTCCCCTCCCTCTGTGTCTGCCTGTCTGTCCGCCTCGGCCCTCAGGATACCTCAGCGACTACGCGGGGCCCGCCTCCGTCTACGATGGCGATGCCGAGGCGGCCTTGCTCAAAGGGCCGTCCCCAGAGCCCATGTACGCGGCGGCCGTGCGCGGAGAACTGGGCCCGGCGGCCGCGGGCTCGGCACCGCCGCCCACCCCGCGCCCAGAGCTGGCCACGGCCGCGGGCGGCTACATCAACGGCGACGCGGCCGTCAGCGAGGGCTACGCGGCTGACGCCTTCTTCATCACCGACGGGCGCTCGCGCCGCAAGGCCGCCAGCGCCGCGGCTCCCTCCACGGCCTCCGCCGCGGCCGCAGTGGCTCCCGACTGCGACGGCGGAGGCGGGGCCGGGGCGGGCGCGCGCGGCGCGGGGTCTGGGGCCGCGGGCCGGGGCGGCGCGCGCGCGGGGGTGAGCGCGGAGGCGCGCGCGGGGCCCGGGGCCGGCGGCGCAGGGGGCCGGCACGCGTGCGGCGAGTGCGGGAAAACGTACGCCACGTCGTCGAACCTGAGCCGCCACAAGCAGACGCACCGCAGCCTGGACAGTCAGCTGGCGCGGCGCTGCCCGACGTGCGGCAAGGTGTACGTGTCCATGCCGGCCATGGCCATGCACCTGCTCACGCACGACCTGCGCCACAAGTGCGGCGTGTGCGGCAAGGCCTTCTCGAGGCCCTGGCTGCTGCAAGGCCACATGCGCTCCCACACCGGCGAGAAGCCCTTCGGCTGCGCGCACTGCGGCAAGGCCTTCGCAGACCGCTCCAACCTGCGTGCGCATATGCAGACGCATTCGGCCTTCAAGCACTTCCAGTGCAAGCGCTGCAAGAAGAGCTTCGCGCTCAAGTCCTATCTCAACAAGCACTACGAGTCTGCATGCTTCAAGGGCGGCGCTGGCGGCGGCGGCCCCGCGGCCCAGGCGCCCGCCGCCTCGCCGCAGCTCAGCCCCGTGCAGGCCTAGGGCGGCGGGGCCTCCGCCAGCCCAGCCGGGTCGGCTCTCAGCAGCAATACAGGCCCCCAGGGAAGTCTCCGCCAGCGCCCGGGCGGGGGGGCCGGAGGGCGGGCCCCTCCTCACAGCAATAGAGGGAGGGGGCCCGGCCCCGCCCCGCCCGCCAGGGGCCTTGTCGGCCCCTTCAAGCAATAGGGTCCTGAGGGGAGACCCACCCCGAACCCCCTCCCTTCCCCTCCAGGGTGCCCCAGGCTTTTTCCCAGCAATAGGGTCGAGGAGACCCAGAACCGAACCTCATCTCCGAGTTAGGTCTCTGAAGACGGGGGTGGGGTGAGGTGGGGAGCACCCCCCTCCTCCCTCCTCTGCGCCCCTGGATCGCGTCGCAGAGACTCAGGTCTTCCCCACCCCTTCCCCAAGCCTTCCAAGGGCCAGGCCTGCGGCCTAGACGTCCAGGGAGCAGACCCGGGGAGGAGCAGGAGGGAGGGGCCTGCAGAGGCATCCCTACTCCTCGGTCTTCGCTGAACCCCAGGAGTGATAGACGCGTTGGGGGTCGGGGAGAGAGGCGGACGGCGGCACCCCTCTCCCTCGGGTTCTTTCTGGGGCCTCAGTCCAAGCCGCTCTCCCACCCTCGCCCCGCATCCTCTGCCAAATCCGAATTCTTCCAGCCCAGCTTCCCGGGCTCTGTCCTTCATAACGAATAATAATGACGCATATCGAATCGCATGGACTTATCCGACCTCCTCAGACCCCACTCCCGCCCTGCCCCGGGGCCCCTTCCCTCGTCCCCGGGCATTCGGTGTTGGAGGACGGATCCTGGGGCCCGGCAGGCAGGCCTGGGCACGGCCCATTACACACCTCTCTGTATTCGCTTTGCGGGTAAAGCCCCCTGGGGGGGTTGCGGATGCGTCGGGTTTCTTTCTTTCTGTATTTGTACGTTTTACTTATGAACGGATTGCACTCGGGTCAGGGAAGGGGGCGCTGAGGCCCCCATCCTTCCCGCCGACGCCCGGGGCTTGGGATGTCCGGGATCACTTTCCCCGCCCCCGAACCCCGCCCCCACCTGGGCCCCACCCTCGAGCCCCAGGCCCCGCCCCCACTCTGTTGCCAACTTTCGCCCGTCTATGCCAAAGCCTCGGCGGCGACCCCGCCCCAAGGGCCCGCCCCATTGGCCGCCGCCTTTGTGACGTCACTGCATGCAGCCCCAACCCTCCTCCGGTCCCTTCCCGGGGCTGCCCGCTCCCTCTCCCTCTTAGTTAGTCCGATGCCGACTATAGAGCAATAATGCGCACTGCATGCGAAGCTGCCGCCGCCTCTAGAGTTACTGAGAATCAGGTATCCCCCTGCCCTACCCACCCCATAGGCCCCTAGATCAGGGACATTGCGCGGGGCCGGACGCGCAGACTTTCTTCCCCTCCTCCTCCCTACTCCCCCACGGCAGAGCCCTGCGGGTGTAATGGTTCCAGGGCAGGGGCGGGGTGGTTGCCCCCAACACCCCTCCTTCCGTCATCCATTACCCACCAACCGTTCATTGGGCACCTACTATGTGCCAGGCCCGCTGCAGAGTCGGCGCGGCTGCACGCTCGTGACAGGCGTCCATCAGGCTTGGGTGGGCCCAGGAGGGCTGCACATGCAGAGAAAGGCCTGGTCCCTAGACCCAACCCTGCATCCCCTTCACCTCTTCCTCACCCGACCCCGGGTCCAGTGCTGGGTGCAGTTGGGCTCTACCTTTGACTTGGGCCTGGCGTTCTCACCTCAGGTGGCACAGACCCAGGGCCCCCAAGGCCCAGTGCGACCAGGGCCACCCATACTGACTCTCAGCCCTTCCATCTCCTGGCCACTTGGGCTCTGCTGTGTGGGGTCAGGGCCCCAGGCCAGACAAAAGGTGCACACTGCAGTGCATGACCTGGTCAGCGCCATCCCGGTGGGCACCGAGCTGCTGCCGCGCCGCACCTGCGGGAGCAGACGGAGGGCCCAGCACAAAAGGGCCCATATCCAAAACCCTCTATACCACAACTCGTGTCCACACAGCTCCCAAGCTGGGGCCTGCCCTCCTGTGCTGGGCACACCCGCATGCACACGCACACACAGGCGCCCCACCCAGCCCCCACACGCCTGTCTACCTACCTAAGGAGAAGGCCAGAGGGCCATGGGCCGGCCAGGGTCTCCCGCTTCTCCCTACACCCCGCCGCCGTGGAAAGCCATGGGCCCCCTCCCGCCCCCATAACTAAGCAGCACAATAACCGACTTAGCGAATTCAGGTAGAAGGAACGTTTAGGTAGCACCTATTTTGTACTGATTCTACGAGTAGGGCCCGAGATGCGGGGGCCCTCGGGTGGGGGTTGCGGCCGCCGGCCCGCCCCGCCCCCACCCCCGCCTGCGCCCCGCCGCCTTGTACATACTCCCACCCGGAACAGGCCGGGATTTTTACTCGGGCCGCGCCCCTCTTCCGCCCCCGTTTGGGGCTGGGCCGGCCGGACAGACGGACGGACGGACAGACCTCCTTCCTAAGCACAATAGCACCAGCTCCCCGGAGCGCCGCACCTCCACGAGGAGAATAAATGCCACTCTTGATAGAACTTGGAGTGTTGGGTTGATGTATCCAGCGCTGGGTCCACGCCACAGGGGGCGCTGGGATGTCTGGGGGGCATCATCCCAGCCCTGCTGCATCCCAGAGGCAAGGCTGGTGCAAGCCCAGTGCTGGGAGTGGCAGCCTACCCACAGAGCTCTGGGGTCACATCACTACCTTTTGGTAGGGTGTGGCACTGTCTCCTTGCCCCCGAGGGCTATCTTCTTCCCCATGGGAGGGCCAGCTTGGCAAGCCTAGACTCGGGAGAATCATCCCCACCCCCCCAACAAGGCAAAGCAGCTGGCAGGCTAATCTGCTCTGTGCCAGGAACTGGGGGAGCTAAGGACCTCCAGCCTGAATTCCAGCCCAGCCCAGGAGTGATCTAGAATCACCAGAGTAGCCACAGCAGGGCCTGCAGAGGTACGTCTACTCTTCTTGTAGGAGCTCCTGCTGCTCCTCAGGCTTGACAGCCACCAACAAACCCGCCTCAATGGCAGTGGAGAAAATGGGGACAGCAGAGGGTGCAAGGTCTGGCCTCTTCCTGCTGCCCACATCTTGACCCCCATGTCTGAGGAGGCCTCCGTGGACAGCTGACTCGTGCTGCTTCTTGGGAGGGGCCACCCAGGGGACAGAGAGGCTTCCATGGCCACCCACAGTCCTCAAGCTCTAGACAGGATGAATCAAGTTGAGATGAGGGGTGGGACTGCGCTGGTCAGGGACAGGCCAGGAACGGGGACCCCCTGCCCCAGCAATGCCCCCTGATACTCACTCAGGTTGGTAGGTATGAGCTGAGAGGCCCAACGTCTGCGAGGTCATCCCAGAGCCAGCTGTCTGAACCCCATCAGGGACAGGTCTGCCTAGACTTCATCAGGGTGGACGGCAGGGGAGCCTGACCTTCAGAAGGGTGTCAGCTGGTAGGCTGCTCAGGGTGGGGCTCACACGGAGGTGGACACCCTCTTCTGGGGAGCACTGTCAGCAGTAAAAACCTCAGCAGTGAAAGCCCCTATTATTGGTAGAGGTCAGGGATCCTTGAGTCTCACTGTCCCTAGGCTGGGGAAAGCATCTTTGCCACATTTGTGTGTGAAGAATCGGTGTCTGGGAGAACAGCCGATCCAAGGCCTGCCTTTGATACAAGCTCTGTCCTAGTACCTCACTGACCCTCCACCTGGAGTCACACCTGGGTGGGTGCCAACGGCAGGGAGAATGCCCATCGCTTCCAGCTTCTGGGTCCAGACTCCTGGTTCCTGCTTCTGCAGGACCCTGAGGGGCAGTGGGAGTGGAGGGATGAAGGCGGCCTCCCTGAGGCCTGGAATGAGTCCACCCTCAGTCTTCACAGATGTCCACAGACAGAACTTTCTATCCCACAACTGGGCAGCATAGTCTGCTAACCACCATGTCCTACGTCACCCTTCACAGGCCTCAGTGGCCTGTGGCACCTCGGCCACAGGTTGAGGTTCTAAACTCTGAACCTCTTCCAGCCAGGCCTGCAAGGGTCCTGGCCTCTAGTCTCTTAACCAGTTGCTGCCCCTGGCAGAGAAATCTCCACTGACCTCTCTTCCACGACCCTCTTGTATGCCTTTGTCACCAAGCAACCCCACCTGCCTTAACCTTTCTTTCTCCTCTCTGGCATCCTGGGCCTCATTTTGCCCTGGATCCTAAGGCAACTGGAGCTTCCGGGGGAGGGGGAATTCTAAAGCTGCTGCGTTGGCCCATTCTCCCTCCCAAGGCCTGGCCCACGCTCTCCCACAGGCCATTGTCCCCTCCAGGCCCGGTCCACGCCTGTACTGAGGCTCTTCCTTATTGGTGTTCTCACGGCCCATGCCTGCCTCTTAACTTGATGCCTAGCTTTCCTCTCGCTCAACTCCAGTGCCAGAACCTTGGCTGTCCCACCGGTTACCCACCAGACTGGTCCTTCCTGGTGATCCCTTGTCCACTCTGGTCGCTTCACTCCCACTGCCGTTTGCCAGCTGACAGCTTGGAGCCGGGACATGGGCACAGGCAGCCGCCTCCAACATGACTTTTCATTCATTACTGACTACTGCACTCAGCCTCTGCAGGCCTACTGGAAGCCTGAGTCCTCAATCTCTGCCAGCCTGGGCAGGCCCTCTAGTTCTTGGCGCTGTACTGAAGGGTGGCACGGCCAGAAGGGATGCAGAGACACGTGGGCACATGTGGCAGAGCTCCCAGGGCTCACTCCTCTATGCTGGGCTCCTGAGAGGACCCTCTCCTTTGTTCGCCCTCCCTTGAGATCAGTACTCAGAAAGTCCTAGCTCTGCCTGGCCCAGGCCACCCCATGAACAGATGAAAGTTCTGAAAGACTGGATAGGAGACGGGTTGATCCTGACTCACCGAGGTTGAGCTGCGTGGACATGTGGGAGCAGCTCTCCTGCCCCAGGCAAGGCAGCCCCGTTAGCACGTTCCTCGAAGACAACCTGCCAGGTAGCTCCAGCCTGCTAGGTAGGGATGCCAGGCCGGTTTCAGTCCCAGATGGCTCAGTGGTGACAGGAATGCGTCACTAGGGGGCCCAGGCACTGTGGTGAAGGTGGTGGAACAGGGGTGTGCCGGGAGGAAAGGCAGTGGCCAGTCCACTGAGAGGCCACTAATCTGAGGCTGAACCTTTCAGTTTATTTGCTTCTAAGAGGTGCTCTTCTTCTTCCTGCTCACCTTGGGAGTGAATGGCTAATGCATTTTGCCGCTGGGTAAACCCTCCCTGAGTCTCCAGTGAATGCTCACTCTGAAATCCAGGGTGTTCACACCCCATGCCCTATGTAAAGATGCGTGTTAAACTAAGGTGGAAGGCGCACTTGTTTGCCAGCGGGTTGCACCGTGCAGTTGTGCAGACTTGGAAGCCTCTGGGTCCCCACAATCCGACACTCCAGGCACCACACGCCCTGGCAAAACCAGCCCGAGTGCAAATGAGGGAGTCCCGGCCGGTCTGCGGACGTGGGCGCAAGGGGGGCCGGGTGGAGGCGGGGCAGACTGGCCGCCTGGGGAGGGGAGTGGGGGGTTGCACCTTCCCTGTCCTTGCTGTGGGCACTTTGAGGGAGGGTCAGTGGGCGGGGCGGGCGTCCGGGGACACCGGGCCTGGGAGCTTCCTCCTGCTCCATCTTTTGGTCTGGCGCTTGTTGAAACAACCCAGGCCGAGGAAAAGAGGGTGCTTCTGCGGTGGTTACCAGAGGGCCCGTGGTGCACAAGTGCGCCGTGACGTGTGCTCCGGAACCAACCCGCTGGGTGGTGGGCGAGGCGAGTCCCCAGGGAAAGGGCCTCGGCAGCCAGGCGGTAGCGCAAGAGGCATTTCTCCGTAAGGTGCCAAGCCCACACTCCGCGCCTGGGCTGAGGGATGACGAAACCCCGTGTTTACAAAAGCGGTCGGGGCGGCCCGCAGCTGCCAGGAAGCCTGACGAGTTCCGCAGAGGCGCTGGGGCCCGGTCTGCACACGCCCGCAGACACTCTACCTCCCGAGCCCGGCGACGGCCGACCGCAGCTCCCAGCGTGCGCCGCGCGGGGCGGCCGCAGCTCCCAGGGTGCCGCGCGGGGGGAACCACGACTCCCAGAATGCCCCTCGCGCCCGCGGACTACAAATGGGCGCGCGCCGTCGCGGCTGGGCTGTTAGAGGCTCCCAGAGCGAGCCGAGCGCGGTCTTCGGGCGGCCTGGAGGGCGCGCGCTGATTGGCGGCCCGGCCTGCGCGCGGGCTACGGCGTCCGGCAGGGGGCGGTGGCGGCCGTTGGCCGAGGGTCCGGAGGCGGGGCCGCGGGCCTCGGGCGCTGCGAGCCCAGCGGGCCACGACTCGGCCGGGACAGGGTGCGGACTGAGGCGATGGGCGACCGCGGCGGCGCGGGCGGCTCCCGGCGCCGGAGGACCGGTTCACGGCCTTCGAGCCAGGGCGGCGGTGGGCCCGCAGTGGCGGAAGAGGAGGCGCGGGACGTGGGCGCCGGGGGAGACCCTCCGGCGCCGGCAACGGCCCCGGACAAGGACGAGGACGGAGACTCCGCCGTGGGCAGCGGCCACTGGGACCTGAGGTAGCCAGGCGTCTCACCCTTAACCCCTGCCCGACACCCTCCCCAGATCCCCGGGCGTGACCACAGCAGCGCGGGCTCCGAGTCGGAGAGCCTGGCTCCCGGACTTGGCTGGACAGGTGTGCCCCTTGGGCCCCTGCGGGGAAACTGAGGCATAGGAGTGGAGAGTCACTGGTCAAGGTCACCCACGTGCGGGCGCAGAGGGGAGCGGGCGACAGTCCAGCTTTCAGACCCCCACGCCTCTGTCTACACATCCTCAGGCGGGTCCTTAGGCTCTTCCTCAGGGTAACCCAGGACGCTGACCCCGCGGCGCGGGCTTCTGCTCTGCGCAAGTTTTCCGTGTGTGGAAGGAGAAGGATGGGTTCAGGTGGCTTATAATTAAGGAGGTCTCTCCTGAGGGCTACGAGGGGTTCCTTGTTGGTAGGCGGTCTCCCCGAGGAGGAGGGCGGGCCTGTGCGGGAGGCAGCCAGCAGGAGCCTGGCGGTGCCGGAGCGTGGGCTCGGGTTCGGGGCAGTCTGAAGCTTTCTCGTCCCTGCAGACCCTCCCAAGAGTTGTCTTCGCGGGGGTCCCTTCCTCCTTCCCTGACCCACGGGTCCGTCCCTTGCCCTGGGCTGGGGCCCTGATTACATCCTCAGAACAAGTTGGGTCCTATATTGGGACTCTCCCCTGCTGGTTGGGGTACAGGAGAGGGGTCTGAAGTGCCCACGGGTGGGCACCCTGTTTAGCTGAAGGTCTGGCAGGAAGCGGGTGGGGGAGCAAGCCTGGCTGATGGGGACGGCCTGGAGGGACGGGAAAGGCTCCCTCCTTCAAGCTGCCTCCAGCCTCTCTCTGGCCTTCAGTCGGGCCCAGGTGTCCTCGGGGGTTCTGGGTTTGGAGACACCGGTGGGGCTAGAGGTTATCAAGGAGGAAGTGGGCAACTGGTCAGTCTGTTGGCAAGGATCTGCTCCCTCAGTAACCCAGAGGTTGGTTCAGCTTTCTTCACTGTGCTGAGAGGATGGGTGAAGGCAGCTGGGGTCCTTGCCCTTGGGGTGCGCACAGTCCACCTGAGAGATAAGATAATCTCAGCACTGAGCAGTGCGAGCAAAGGTCAGGCGCAGAGTCCGTGAAGGCGCCGTGGCAGAGGAGGGCGCTTTTACTGAGGGGGTGCTTGCTTCTTGTGGGCCAGGGATGGTGCTGAGGGAGGCTGCAAAGGACAGGAGGGTTCTAGGGTCCCCTCTGCCACTCTGGAGGCAGGGGCATGGCCGGCATGATCTCCTCCAGAGGTGGCAGGAGTTGCGTCCTTTTGTGTAAGAGTGCTGGCTTTGGGCCAAGCTGCCACTCTGGAATGGGCAGTCACTTCGCTGCTCTGCTGGGCCAGCTGTCTAGAAGCGCGTCCTGTGTTCCTGAGAGCTGGGCCCCGCGAGCGGAGCCTTCACGTCCGGCCTCCCTGGGAAGAGGAGCCAGAGCCGGAAGGGACGGGCCTGCCCAAGGCAGAGGGAGCTGGCAAGGACCACCCTCCCCTGGTCCCCAGGTCTTGCAGGCCCTGTGTGCTTGTTTCTCAAACTCCGATGACCCAGGCCCGGAGGGCCACCAGGGTCAGAGCTTGCTCTGGCTGCCGTCCTGGGATTCTTCGGCCCCCACTCACCTCCTTGTCAGCCTCCTGGTGCCTGTCTCCCCTCCCTACACTTCCTGCTCACCTCGCCCTGGGCAGGTGGATCAGGCTCTGGGTGTGAACACATTTCTTCCAGGCCATGGCAAGGTGTGGCTGTGGGGCAGGAAGGAGGGCACCTCATACACTACCGGTTCCCAGGCCGTCTGGACCCCTGCTCATGGGCACCAGGCAGGGCCTTCGAGTCCCAGGGCTCTCCTAGGGTGTTTGTTCCTGGGCTGCCCTCTGTTTCTTCCTCTCCACCAGGGTCTTCCCAAGGGCAGAGCCTGCCTGCTTACCTTGCACCCTGGGGCTCGGCCCCCAGGCCGGGTGAAGGAAGTGCTGCGGCAGTGGCAGCTGGGAGGAGAGCTGGCAGCCTGCCCCCTCCATGGTCCGCTTGGCCCTGGAATTGGACCAGGTGGTCCCCAGTTGTGACCCACACTTTGCCTTGCCCTTGGGCAAGCTTTGAACTTTGGCAAGACTTAGTTTTCCTTTGCACTTACCTCCCAAAGCTGATGTGAAGATTAAGTGAGATAACACGATGCGTTACAGCGACCCTGGCGAGTAGGCGTGGGACCGCTGGAGGGCACAGAGGTGTGGGTGGCCCTGAGGCAGGGGAGAGGGTGATAGAGTTAGCTCTGGGGAACTATGGCCACATCCTGCCTGCCCTCTGGTCCAGGGCTGCTGAGCGTGCCGGGCCGGCAAGGCTGGGCCCTCTGGTCCAGTGCCGCTAAGCACGCCAGCAAGGCTGGGCCTTGTGGGTTTTGGTGGGTGGTGGGCTTCCTCCCCTGGGCCTTTGACCTGTGTGGAAATGGGGGTTGCCTGCAGTAGGCGGGTGGCCAGGAGCCCTGTGGAGGGACCTAGGGTGTGGGTGTGAGCAGGTTGGGGAAGGCTGTAGGAGCGTGACAGAGGGATCTGGAAAAGCTTTTATGATATTATTTGGTGTCAGACTTGGAAAATAATACCCATTCTCAGCCCTGTTTTCATCTTAGAGATTGCTGAAAATAAAGCCAGCATGGTCTTCCTGGTAGCCCAAAGTGGGCAAGGGGTCACATTGTTGTGAAACGTTGTGCAGATGGGGGTTGTGGACCGGGACCTCTGGGACACTTCCAGTGAAAGTGGACGGACTCAGACTTGGCGGAAGGGCTGGGGAGGCCCCGGTCTAGCGGGCAGGCCAAGACGGTCCCCTCTGGGGAGTGAGGCCCTGGAGCTGTGCTGGCCTCACAGGGAAGCAGGTGCAGAGACTGGAGGAGAAGAGGGCCTCCGGTGGCCTCACCTCAAGGCCCAGAACAGGCCGGGCAGGTGGACACGAGGAGGCCAAGCCTGTGACTGGCAGAGGCTGGTGGGCCGGGGGGTGCGGTACACACCCTGCCGCTGCTCTCGTTGGAGAGTGCCGAGTAGCCTCTCAGCCTTCCCAGCCCCTCACTTCCCGTTGAGCCCGACCTTGTCAGCCCTGAGAAGACAGATGTGCTGCACTGGACACCTGGGCCCACTTCTACCTGGGTGCCTCAAGAGGTGGAGATGTGTGTCCCTGGCCTCATGTCTTACGAAACTGGAGGCCTTGCTCAATGCTGTGTGGGGCTTCCTGGTGGCATGGCAGGTGGGGGTGGGGTGGGGCCGCAAACTGAGAGAGCCGGGAGCTGGCTCTGGGCCTTGCCCCAGTCATGTCTACCTCTGTGTCACCCTGAGGCTCAGGCAGGGATGTGAAGATCTACTTATGTGTCACCCACCCCAGCAGTAGGTGGGAACTCTCATGGGTGGGCACCGAAGTCACCTTTTTCTGCTTCTGGGGGAAACCTCTCTGCCATTAGGCATCTGGCATCTGGTGGGCTCCTCTGGGCCCCCTCGCTCTGGGCAGGAGCACAGTGCTTACCCTGTGGCCGAGCTGGGACAGGTTATAATTTTTTAGAAACAGTTGGAGGCTACATGAATGTATGAGGGCTGGGCCCCTGATACCATGCACCGGGGAGGTGCATGCAAGTCCAGGTCCTCGGCTGGCCCTTGGCCTGAGTCCCTGTGCGCACTCAAACCTGTGTGGGCCAGATGTAGGGAGGAGGTTGTCTGAGGTGGGCGCCCCCTCAGTGTGCCGAGTGTAGGATGGGCTGACTCAGCGAGGCCCTCACTTCTGTACAGCATTGCCAGGTGGGCCTGTAGATCCCTGCGGTGGGCCCATCGCCACTCCACCATTCTGTAGCCGGTGTGCATGGTGGCAGCCAGAGGCCTCTGGGGAGCGAGGCCAGGCTCGGGGCTGGGGTGCTCCGGCTCCACGCAGCCCTGGGCCGGCCAGGGCCAGCCGTGCTGTTCCTGTTCGTGGCATGACCCCGCCCGCTGCCTGGAGGGCAGGCTTCTGGGTGGTCCTGAGAGCCCGTCCCTGTCTGGCCCTTCTGTGGTGGTAGATGGGGAGTAGGATGTGTGGGCAGAAGAGAGGGCTGGGTGGGCACGGACCATCCTGCTGGGCCAGGATGCTGAGAGCCGCTCAGAGGAAGGGGCTGGGGTCTGCCCTGCCCTGGGCCCTGAGGTTGGCTCCCGAGGCGCCGAACTTGGCTGGGCTCTTGGGCCCTGACCTGCCCCTGGACGTGGAGGGGTAAGCCCGCTCTTGGTCCTGCCCAGGGTCCTCATAGCTGGGGGTGCTGGGGTAGGGCCAGCGCTGCTTAGGGGGCGTCTGTCTCCCGTCCTACCAGGTGCCACCGCCTGCAAGATTCTTTGTTCAGCTCTGACAGTGGCTTTAGCAACTACCGTGGGATCCTGAATTGGTGTGTGGTGATGCTGGTGAGTAGGATGGTATCTGGGAGCCGGTAACCCTGTGGTCAGGGCTCCGCCCTCTGGGGGAAAGGGGCCAGAGCTTGTGTGGCTGGACTGCGTGGGGCACTGGGCTGGCGGGGGGACAGTTGTGGTGATGGTCCTGCATCAGCCACACACTCAACTCTCGTTCCTGTTGAATCCCAGGAACGGCACGTATGAGGGGTCTTGGGGGTCCAAAAAAGAGTTTCTTCCGCTGTTCTGAGTGGCCCTTGTGGGCGTGGAACCCTGGCAGTCCTGGGGGGGGGGGGGGGGGAGCCAGGGTCCAGCAGCTGGCTCCTGGGCTCAGCTTGGCAGCCCCGGGCCCGGACTCTGAAGGCACCCGGCCTCTCTCCCGCAGCCTGGTCCTTGGTGGCCCCCAGGAAGGGATTAGAGCCCTGGCTTCCACCTCCCCGCGGCCTGGCTGTAGCCCCTGGCTCTGGGGCGCCGTTCCGTTCACCTTGTGGGGGTGGGGCCAGCAGTCCTGGCCCAGAAACAGCTGGAGCCAAGCCCGCAGGGTGGGGCAGGGGGCAAGCTCCTGTCGGGGCCCAGCCCCCACCTCTCAGACTGATGTGGCCAGAGGCCTTTGCCCTTTGCCCTGACATGGCTGCCTCGGTCTCCTTGGAAGGGGCTTCAGGCGCACCCACACACCCCCTGCCTGTGGCCCCAGGAGGCTCTCCAGGGAGCTGTGGGGGGCAACGCCTCTGTTTGGGTGGGGAGCTGGCTAGGCAAGGGGATGGCGGGCCAGACGCCTGCCTGATGTCACCTCACGAGGTGTCGTGTCCTTGTTCTCTGAGGGCCGTGCCTGGGCCGGGTTTGTGGCGGCAGTCTGAGCAGCAGTGTGTGTTCCCTGGAGCCCTCAGGGCCCGCCTGGCCCTTCGGCCCAGACCCAAAACCTTTCCCCTGCGTCCAGTGCCTCCACCGCCCCCTTGCTGGAGACTGTGTCCCGCCGTGGCCTGGGCCTGGAGGTGCGCGCTGCCCGTTAGCAGCTCTGGCCCCTGCTGGCCGTAGGCTCTCAGGACAGGCCACTACCGGGCGTGGCGGCAGCACGTCTGTGCCAGGCGGGAGGTCAGGGCACTGGTGTCTCTGTTTGTCACCTCCATGTGAAGCCCTTACCTGGTGGCCAGGGGACCCATGAGTGTCCCCTTGCTAGCATCACTTTCCCACAGGGCCTGAGCTTGGGGCCCTTGGCCGGGTATGTGTGTTGGGGGTGGAGGAGGAGGCCCTCGGGCTTGCAGAGGGAAGCCATGCCCCAGCCCCAGCCCAGAGCCTAGCTGCTCTGGGGCCACGTGCCCAGGCTTGGAGTGCTACGGGGACAGTGGGAGAGGGGCAGGGGCCCTGAAGACTCAGGTCAGCTTCTTCTCCCCACACTCCCCAGGGTGTGGGTGCCCGTGGTGTAGCACTTGCGGCCCACCCGGGCACTGCAAGGACGTTCTTGGGCAGGTTTGGGCCTTGAGGGCCGTCACCAGCTCAGTGGGACAGATGAGGGCTTCTAGGCGTCAGGTCATTTTGTGCCGCTGCAGATGCCAGTATCTGGTGTTGGGGGGATGGGGGCAATGGTGAGACGTGCTGTCCCTGCAGCAGCATGGGGGGAGGTGGATGGTAAGCCTCAGGGCTGGCGTGGAGGTCACACAGGGCTTGCATCCTGGGTTTGCAGGTGCGGGTTGCCACCCGGAACCGGGGCTCCTGCCCCTGCAGGTGCTGGGAGGAGCTGGGGTGGGTACCCTGTGGCCAGGGCTAACGGGGCTGTGCCCTCCTTCTCTCTTGCAGATCTTGAGCAATGCCCGGTTATTTTTAGAAAACCTCATCAAGTGAGTGTCTTGCCCAGGGCCCCAGCCCCGCCCCTGCGGCCCCTCCCCCCCATCTCTCCCGAATAAAATCAATTAATTTTAAAAATACGTTAAAAANCCCCCCCCCCCCCCCCCCCCCGCTCAGACCCTCACCCCCCGCCCCCCAGGTACGGCATCCTGGTGGACCCCATCCAGGTGGTGTCCCTGTTCCTGAAGGACCCCTACAGCTGGCCCGCCCTGTGTCTGGTTATTGGTGAGCCGGGAGCCTTGGAGGGTTGTGGGTGGGGACAGGGCTTGACCTGGGACTGAACCGCCCTACGGCACTTCCATCCTCAGTGGCCAATGTCTTTGCCGTGGCTGCATTCCAGGTGGAGAAGCGTCTGGCAGTGGTAAGCAGTGCCCTCACGACCCCTGCCCTGCCCACAGCGCTGCTCTCCTCATTAGGCCTGCGTTTCGGGCTGTGTGTAGCTCTCCTGGGGAGGCCTGTCCCCAGGGAGTGGGGGTGTTGGCTGAGCACGCTGCCCCCGCCCCCACCCCCCAGGGTGCCTTGACGGAGCAGGCAGGCTTTCTGCTGCACGTGGTCAACCTGGCCACCATTCTCTGCTTCCCGGCTGCCGTGGCCTTGCTGCTCGAGTCCATCACTCCAGGTGTGCCCCTTCCTTCATCCCACCCCTGTCCCAACCTGTCTCGGGCCCGAGGGAGGGACCTCGGTTCACCACAGGGGCTGTGCCTGTGGCGGAGGCTCTCCTGTGCGTGATGTGGGAGGGCTGTGGCCTGAGCCTGCCTCTCCTGCAGTGGGCTCCGTGCTGGCTCTGATGGTGTACACCATCCTCTTCCTCAAGCTCTTCTCCTACCGGGACGTCAACCTGTGGTGCCGAGAGCGGAGAGCTAAGGCCAAGGCCAAGGCCACGTCTGGTGAGGGGCTGCCTGGGGCTGGGGCCTTAGAGCCTGTGCCACCTGCCACTGGGCCAGACCTGGGCCGCAGCAAGGCCTCATGCCATGCCCCCCCCCCCCCACTTGCTTGTAGCTTCTGCAGGTAAGAAGGCCAACGGGGGAGCTGCCCCGAGCACCGTGAGCTACCCAGACAACCTGACCTACCGGGGTGAGGACCCTTCCTGGGACGCGGCTGGAGGGCGGCGGGGGGGGGGGACAGCAGAGGCCTGGCCTCCTAGCCCCACCCTGCCGTTCCAGATCTGTACTACTTCCTCTTGGCTCCCACTCTGTGCTATGAGCTCAACTTTCCCCGTTCTCCCCGCATCCGAAAGCGCTTCCTGCTGCGGAGGCTCCTTGAGATGGTGAGGATGGAGGCGGGGGTGGTGGTGCCCCGAAGGGTTGGGGTCTGCCCGGAGCTGGGGACTCAGCCTGCTGCTCTCTGCTTCCTCCCTCAGCTCTTCCTGACTCAGCTGCAGGTGGGGCTGATCCAGCAGGTACGCGGGGCCAGGCCGGGCTGGAGCGGGAGCTCAGTGTAGCCAGGGAGCTGACGCTGTGCCCTCTTTTGCAGTGGATGGTCCCCACCATCCAGAACTCCATGAAACCTTTCAAGGTGAGGGCTTGGGTTCTCCTGTGGCGGGGCGGGGGACGGGTCGGGGTGCGGCTCGGGCGGGGGCCAGCTAAGCTCTGTCTCCGCAGGATATGGATTATTCACGCATCATCGAGCGCCTCCTGAAGCTGGCGGTGAGCGGCACGGCTGGGCAGGGTGGGGGGGCGAGCAGGCCGGTGGGCGGGGTGTTCTGGAACCTGGCACCTGCCTCCCCCCCCAACCACAGGTCCCCAACCACCTCATCTGGCTCATCTTCTTCTACTGGTTCTTCCATTCCTGCATGAACGCCGTGGCTGAGCTCATGCAGTTTGGAGACCGGGAGTTCTACCGGGACTGGTGGTGGGTGGCCTTGGGCGTGGGGCTGGGGGCTGGGCTGGGCCAAGGTGCCAGCTGGTCACTTGCTGCTGCTGTCCGTCCCCAGGAACTCTGAGTCCGTCACCTACTTCTGGCAGAACTGGAACATCCCTGTGCACAAGTGGTGCCTCAGGTGGGCGCGGGCAGGGGTGTGACTGGTGGGCGTGCAGCTTCGTGTGCGCACCCGGGCACCCTTCCCACGGCCCCCTCCCTCCACAGGCACTTCTACAAGCCCATGCTTCGGCGGGGCAGCAGCAAGTGGGTGGCCAGGATGGGGGTGTTCTTTGCCTCGGCTTTCTTCCACGAGGTCAGTGCTCCGCAGGCACGACGGCCTCATCCTTAGGGTGGGTGTGGCCTGACAAGGTGGCTGACCCTCTGTCGCTCCCCCTGCAGTACCTGGTGAGCATCCCCCTGCACATGTTCCGCCTCTGGGCCTTCACGGGCATGATGGCTCAGGTGAGCATTCCCTCCTCAGCCACCCTCTGCCCCGGGCCCCGGGCGCCACCGGCCCTGTGGTCACTGTGGCCAACTGACCGTAACCCTGTGTCTCCAGCTCCCCCTGGCGTGGATAGTGAGCCGCTTCTTCCAGGGCAACTACGGCAACGCGGCCGTGTGGCTGACACTCATCATTGGTCAGCCCGTGGCCGTGCTCATGTACGTCCACGACTACTACGTGCTCAACTACGAGGCCCCGGTGGCCGGGGCCTGAGCGGCTCCACAGCAAGTCCTCACTGCCACCTCCTCTCACCTCACTGCCCGCAGCCAGAGCCTGTCCCCTACCTGTGTGCTAGGGAGGGGGCTTGGCTGTCCATTGCCTCCTCCCAGATACCCCCTGCACCGGAGGCCCTCTCTGCCCCTATGGGGCTCCTTCCTGCCCTGCTCAGGGATGGCAGACCAGGCACAGGCCGGTGCTGGTGGAAGGTGCCAGCGGCCCAAGACTGTGCCAGTCCTGCCCAGGGGTCTGAGGGAATCAATAAAGTGCTGTCCAGAGTGGCTGTCCTCAGCCTGCTGGGGTTGTGGTTGCTAGTGGTGCTCTTGGGAGAGGGATCTGGGTCCCACTGGCCTTCCTGGTGCCCATCCCCAGGTCTCCTGGGGTGCCGTGTCCTGGAACAACAGTGGGCAGGGCCCGGCCCCAGTGACGCAGAGGCTGGGGCCGGGCGCAGGTACGGGGGTCAGGCAGACTTGCTCCCTCCACACGGCTCAAGGCACCTCCCATTTGCCTAACAAGGCTCAGCTGAGGTCACACTTCCTGTCCTCGTCACCGCCCTTGTTAACCTTGTGTGTTTGTGGCTGGGAGGGTGGTTAGCTCAGAGCTCCGCGGTCCCTGTGACAGGGACTTGGAAGAGGTCTTGGACTTCCCAGCAGTGGACCTTGGCTTGGGGCCGAGGCCGGAGACTGGGGTGTGTAAGTGGGTCAAGAGTCAGGAGCAAGCAGGGGGCTGGTGGAGCCACGTGTCTGGTGGAGTTCTCAGACAAGGCCGAGTCTGCCGGCCCCTGGGGAGCTGCCCCTGGAGCAGCCACGTGCTGGGGTGCTCACCCGGGGACAGTCGCAGAGCCTTGGGGGGCGGGGGGCTTGGCTTGCCTCTTGGATGAGGCAGGAGGCCTGGCCCAATTCTTGACCCGGGTCTCCCTCACGAGTGCATGCACCCACGCCCAGCTCCGCACCTCCCGGGTGCTGCTGGCGCACGGCCTGGCCCTCCTCCATGCTGTGAATCCCGAGGCCCTGGCGGGTCAGATGTGCCCTGAACCACAGATGTGGCCTGACGGGCAGGGGTCCTGAGCAGGTACCTGGGCGGCAGCCTCAGCAGCTGCACTGTCCCACTCTGCATCCTCACCCCCTCTGGCCGTGGCAGAGTTGGGGGTAAGGCTCCCTGGGGAGGGTACCCTTTGGATTCCAGGGTGGAGGCAGCATCTCCCCGGCCCCTGCTGAGGATGGTGAGCAGGCAGTGAACGGGGGGGGGGGGGGGTCCCCTGGGAATGTAGGGGGGCAGGATCTGGAATGGGGAATTCTGGTCAATACATTACAGCTCTAACTGATAAACTCGCTAGCTGATACATGGGCNAAGAGCAGGGGGCCTCTGCCGAGATGTGTGCGCCCGGCCTGTCCGTCCGTGCCCCACCTGGTGCCCTCGTGGGGAGGCCTTGGGCAGGGCATTTCTGTGGGTCCATCCCACAACCCCCGCCCCCGGGCCTTTAATAAAGAATTTTGAGCACCCACGGGTCCTGTGGAGTCCGGCGTGCACGACTACGCCCTGGACATCTACCTTCCCTCCAAGGAGACCATCACGGCCCAGACTTCCAGCGCCCTTCTGAGACGGCCTCCCCGCCCCCCTCGCCATCCTGGGGGGCGGCAGGAGGAAACAGACACGAGAGGCCACCGTGTAGAGCCTGTCGTTTATAGGTCTCTGCCAGTCTCGTCCGTCCGTCTGTCCGTGTATGTGTTTATCTCTACCGAAGGGGCAGGGGAACTCTTCTGTAAAAATCCAAAATACGATCCTGACTGTGAACACCCGCAGCGCAGGGCAGTCCAAGCGTGGCTGTAAAGCCTCAGGCAGCCATGGCCCATGGGGCTGGGGCCTTTGCTGCTGAGCGGGCTCCACGCCCAGCCCCTTAGCCAGCCTTCGTCCTGGGGCCTCTAGGAGACAGTGGGGTCCTTGGCTTTGGGGGGTTCAGAGCCCGTCAGCAGGGAGATGGTGGGGTCATCTGTGTAGTCGTCCCCCTCCGAGAAGTAGGACCCCTCCCCCAGCTCGAAGAGCACGGGCAGGTCGCTGCTTCCCATGTCGACGGAGCCCGGGTCCACCAAGAAGAGGGGTTGCGCCGTGTAGTGCACCAGCTGCTTCCCTGGGGGTGGTGGCTGGGTCAGGGCACTGGCGGGTCAGGGCACTGGGCTGGGGCAGGGCAGGGGCTCAGGGCTTGGCTCACCTGAGTCGGGGCTGCTGCTCTCTGCCTCGAGAGGCCTGGGGGGCTCCTGGGGAGAGAGGAGCTCCTGGATCTGCTGGGACAGAAGGGGGCAGAGTGAAGGTTCCTGCGTCCTGCCCGCCCCACGCCCCCCCGCTCGCCCTGCCCCGCCTACGCACGCTGGCCAGGCTGCTGTCAAGGTCGGGCAGGCTCATGTCGGGCACTGTCACCGAGGGGCTGAACAGCTGCAGGGAAGGGAGGGCGGTCAGGCTGCGCCTGAGGGCTGGGAGCAGGGTGGGGGTAGGGAGGCACTCACGTCCAGCAGTGCGCTGGTGTCCACGCTGAAGCCGTGGCTTGTCAGCATGGTCTGCAGGTTGTCCAGATTGGAGTCCATGGCATCCAAGTGGTCACTGAGCTCGGTCCTAGCCAGAACGAGGGGAGCAGGTAAAGTGGAGCCCTAGGCACCCCCAGCCAGGTGCCCTCCTCTGGTGATCACACTCACCATCCAGAGAGGGGCTGTCCTCAGCTAAACCCCCGCCCCGCTTAGGCTCACGGGAGGCCCTCCGAGGTGGGGGCCCATCGCACACCCGGTGTGGGCCCGGGGGACGTGTGTGGGGAAGGGCAGGGTGCTTGGCCACTGGGACGAGAACAGCTGAGGCCGTGCCAGCCGGTCCTGTCGCTGTGAGGCCCAGTAAGGCCTCTGGCAGCACAAAATGGCTGAGTCAAGGTGGCCGGGGAGCCAAGGAGGGGTTTGGTGCTCAGGATGGGCTGGGGGCAGTTTTTCAGGCTTGGCAAGGTCTTGTCTCTATGTCGGAAGACAGCAGGGAGGGGGAGAGAGAGGTGCAGGCAGGGTCTAGAGGGCTGGTCTCTACGCTGGGGCATGCCGGAAAAGAGACCTGGGTCTGGAAGCTGTGGCTGAGAAGGCTCTGGGCCACCGGGTGGACCTGTGCCATTGGACGGGTGGCCAGGCTGGCTCTGGGAGGTGTCCACAGGGCCAAGCCCCAACCTGAGAGGAAGCCAGTCAGCACAGCAGCCAGGGGCCTAGCGGCACCCCTGGCAGTGCCAGGCTGGGAGGCCCATCTGTCAGTCGGTGACCTGGGGCACGGGCCGGGGGCTGCTCCCTGCTGCAGAGGGCCCGGGACGCCCGTTCACCAGGCAGGGCCAAGTGCTCATGGCCAGGCCAGGGTCTGGTCCGAAGCTGGGGAGGGGCCTGAGCTCTGGCGGAGCCCTCCTCCCTCCCCAGTGGGGACAGCGCTAACCCTGGCTGGACTCGGCCATGCAGAGAGGAGGGGCAGGGGAAGAGGCGGGCGACCCCAGACATCTGTGGAGCGCGAGCCAAACTGCAAGATACAAAGACAAGAGCCCCCCGATTGCAGGTGGGGGCCAGGTGGACTCCGTGGCCCCCGCCCTTGCTTGCCTGGCCTCTGGGGCAAGCCCTCTGAGGGGCAGGGCAGATGCAGCGGGCCGTCATGGGAAGGGGTGACGGCGGCAGCCAGAGTAGCTCAGAGAGCGGGTGAGAAGCCTGCAAGGCCGCACGCCCTTGGCTCCTGAGGCATGGGGGATGCGGGGTAACAGGCTCTGAGCTCAGGGCCAGGTCTGCTGGCTCAGCCCCCAGCGACTCCTGTGCCCACAGCCCGACAACCGCCCCAAACCAGCCCTCCAGGACAGTCCTAGCTAGAGACCCGGATGCGCTTCCAGAGGCTGTGGCGGAGGTGGGGGGCGGGGGTGGCGGCACTCACTTGTCCAGGCAGGCTACGCTGAGGCACTTCTCAGGGGCCGAGGCAGGTGGGGGCGAGGGTGAGGGGCGACGGCCCCCCGCATCCGTGAGGGGTGCGGCCGGGGCAGGCTCGCTTTCCCGAAGGATGGAGTCAATGAGGGCGGTCGGGGACAGGGGTATCTCCACGACAGAGGACGGGCGTCCGGGACTGGCCTCCTCCACCCGGGGGCTCCGAGGAGGACTGGGCGGCTCCTCCTTGACGCGTACCAGGGGGCTGCTGGGCAGTGGCCTGCACACCGGGGGGGGGGGGGGGCNGGGGGGGGGGGGGGGGGGGGGGGGGGGGGGGGGGGGGGGGGGGGGGGGGGGGGGGGGGGGGGGGGGGGGGGGGGGGGGGGGGGGGGGGGGGGCACACATGTCAGCAGCCGCCGCCTCCATGGGCCCACCCTTCTGACAGTTGGGTGATGTGGCCCCCACCTCTCATCTACGCTTCTGCCCGGGGAGGCCAAGGGGCTGCTGGGGGCCAGCTCGGTGATGTCGGAGATGATGGGTCCGGAGCTGGCGACGGCGTCTGCGGAGTAGAGGCTGGAGCTGCTGTAGGCCGGGGAAGGAGCCTGCCATCAAAGGGAGGTGGCCCGTGTGGCAGGAGCTGCAGTGGTGCCCGCCCCGCCCCGGCAGCCCTGCCGCCCCCGGCGCTCACCGAGTAGGGGCCCGAGCCGTGGATGTGCTCCAGGGAGTACTGGCGGCCATACTTGGGCATGGAATGTGCCGCGCTGCCGTCGTTCAGCATCAAGGGGCTGCGGGGGGAAGGCGTGGGCTTAGGTGCCTCCCCGAGACCTCAGGGCCACCCGGGTCTCGGCCAGTGGGAGACAGGGTGGCCCCGGGCCCTGTGCTGAGGGACGGGCACCCCCCGCGCCTCACATCTTTCTCTTCACCCCCAGGATCCGGTTGGACTGCACCAGTGAGATGAGGAACTGGATGAGCTGCGGGCGGAAAGGTGCAGTTAGGCCGGCCCCGCAAGGCCCCCCGCCCCCCCTGGCCCGCCGCACACCTTGTTGACGACTTTCTGCTGCTGGGCGTGCTTCTGCCGCAGGCTGGCCACTTCCCGCCACAGGGCCTCGTTCTCGCTGTAACACAGCGGGCACGGTCGGTAGGGCTGCGGGCCCTCCACAGACCTCCCACCCACCGCGGGCAGGCGTAGGGGCTGGGGTGTGGGTGACCCCGGAGGGCTGCGAGCCTGGCTGTACCAAGGCTGGGGGCGGACCGAAGCTGCGCTCTGCCACACCGCTGGGCGAGGACACACAGGGGTGTCAGGCAGGCGGTCAGTTGGGAGGGGCCCCTAGGGAAGGGGCTGGAGGGCTTCAACAGAGCACAGGACT